CGCGGGTAGCGCCTCCTTTGTACTGTTTGAGGCAGAGTGGGATACATTACTCGATAAAGGGGAATTCCACAGTAATCATTGTGATTGATATGCCCGGACCTGACAAGTGTGCTATGCTATGGAATGTAACGATGATCTGATGAGAACTCCCCCAAATCACTTGAAGCCTTTCGGGATGATGTGAAAAAATCTTCACGGTATCTCCCTATACTGCACACTGATTAAATCCTAATAAAACCCGGTCTGGTAAAATCAAACAGAGTCAAAGGAGCAAGATTTTAAAGCATGGTAAACAAAGTATCCATAAAGGAACTATGGCATGTTGAATCCACCATAGCTTGAATATCTCGTTCGGCCTTCGGTTCAACTTACCTGAGAAGGTCTGGCTTATTTGGGATTAGAGTAGGTAAAAGTAACAAGACGGTAAGCCTACCTCTTGGTGTTGTTACTGTCCACGATTCGAACAGAATGACATCATTAACAGTGGTGTGAAACCACATCCACATCGGCTTCATATTCATGTGCATTTGTGGTGTACTGCTCATCGGAGACATATCCATGGAATCATCCACGACCTCCATGTCCGTCTAGACACCCTAAATTGCCTAAAATAATCAATGACCCCCTTGAAGGTTACAGGGACAGAGTATGGTTCAAAAACAACACGAAAGACTGGGTAACGAAACCCCTGATGGAGTAGGTACAGTTACGTCCTCAGAAAACTGAATAGCGAACAGGAAATTGACGGAGTATGATGGGGCGAATGTTCAATCTTCACGTTCGGAAGGCTTACTGAATATTTGTGTTGTACGCGGCGTATTCCACTTTGCCATGGAATCGGGGAATTACTTAAGGCAATCGATATACCAATTAACGTTTCAAGCATCCCGCTCGTGGATCATATCCGGATTCAAGATTGCTCAGGATTTTTTTTTCATTTTGATATCGCTTATAACGTTTTGGGACCCGGAGAACTTGTTTATGGTTCACTTTATCTCCCCGTCTATGATTCTAGCTCTGTGGCTCTGAATTGTTTGGAAACGACTCATTTCACTGAGAATCTAGAGAAAGGTTCATCAATTCAAGGAAGTGCCCTAAAGGCACAGTTCACGATAAAAATGACTTGAGAGAATGCCCCCTAGGATGAATTTCTGACCCTTATGTATAGCATATGTGGAGCTATCAGTAGGAAAACGACCTAGATAGGGCGTTATAAAAGCTAAGATTGGCCCATGTGTATCCTCGGACGAGTTACACTGGTGTTGTACAGGGCGCAACACCCATGTAAGAAGTCAAACAACTTGTCATGGCCCATAGCGACAATGAAATTCAATTCTGTGCAGCTCTGGCTTGAGGTAGTCAACTCTTTGCGCAATTGCAACCACTGAAATCTCGTCCAATACCCCTTCCATGTCAGTTCCCTCATGGTAACCCCGCACAACCTCTATATTCACTTTTTTAAGATACTTCAAAATCATTGTGATCTGTGCCTTTAATACATATAGGCAGTGATACCGCAAACGGTTTGCACAGCTTACATAGGCATTCTGGAAAAGGCCCCGAGGCAACCGAAGCTACAAAATAGGGAGAGCATTCGCGAGGGTATCGTCGAAAGCCCATTAACTTAACTAGATCGGTGTCCTTTTACTGATATAATGTAGCAACTTTTTTCAAACCGAATCTCTAAGTTCCCAATGAGGCAGCGTAGGCGACTCTTATTCGGGGCTATTTGATATCTGAGTGAGGAGGTTTTGTGTGTTTAAGTGACCTTTGGCAGGGGGAGGGGGGGTAGGCGGAGAAATGTATATT